TGCTGGGTACAGTCGCAACTTTCATGCACCTGGTTGACGATTGCATTCGTTTACTCTTAATTTTTGTGACCGTTTCTCTTCGGAGTGGGCTGGATGGATACTGCTATTGTTTGCGCACTGACCCATTCACGTTTCCGTATTATGGATGCATCTACGAATTGAATCATTTTTTCGTCGCGGCAAGAACACGGCTCGAAATGCTAGGCCACCTATTGATTTTTTCCAGCCTAGGCTTTATTTGGGGATCGGCTGCATTGAAGTTCTTCCACAGTTTGTTAGCATCCTTGTTCGCACGTAGTACACATTTGACGTCATCCACATTCGTACAGGGTGAATTTCTCCATAGGTTTTGAGAACACTCCGTTTTCTGATTTGGTCATGAAGGTGTTTGCGACCAGTCGTTCTAATCACTTACCCATGACGATTCCGTCTTTCTTTGTATACGTTGCACCATTAACTGAACTTGTATGCTGTATGTACCTAGACAGAGAAGTCGCTTGAGTTCATCTACAGGTAGTCAAATTAATTTGCCTAAATGCCCTACCCGAATTCCGCTGAAGTCAACAATTTCTTGAGGTTTTACGTTAGAGACATCCGAGGCGAACATCTTTGTTAATGAGCACGATGCAGTTTGCAAAACCAAAGGCCTGTCGTAGACTAAACTTGGCGGTTTTCCTTCCTAGTGATTGAAGTAGATCGTTTAACCATTCTATCACAACCTGGCATAGAGAATTACTCTAAACTCTGATTTCCGTCGCAATCGTTTGTCTCCTCTCTCTCTCTCTCCACTTGTTTATTTCATTGTAACCCGAATTCAGTGGTATCTCATCATCCAGTAGTTGTGTTATGACTACCCTACCAAAGCACTTTCGAACAGGGTTTAATGAGTAGAAGAAAGGTGGTGTGAAATTTCTCGGTGAAAATCCTGTTTGTTGAGGGAACGGATCACCAGTTTTGGTTAACTTCTTCGATTCTCCGAAAATATCACAAAAGCTGCCGTCTGCCTTCGTTTAACCGCAGTTGTCCTGTTGTTGATCGAAGAGTCTGATTCCTTAACTTCTAGTATACCTTAGGTAGTGGTTGTTCGTAATTCAGTGCACAGGCAGATAACTATTGACCGGATGATGACCAATATCACATGTCATTTGCCATCATGCGACAGCACTCCTCCTACGAAGACCACAACTAAATCGAATCTGGTGTACCATTACATCACTTTCGCTCATGGTTCGTCATGTTTAGAAAACTCTCGATCGAGATAAGTGTTCAATATGTGTTTCACCTGCTGTATATGTTATAATATGGTACAACCATATGCGATGAAGAAATCCTCCCAATGCCTGTTTATGCTATCTGGTTCCCAATGTCCCAGGTACTCTTAGGGATTTGCACTGGGGATTTTCGGCTTGTCTAAACCTGCTACATGGAATGCAGAAGAACGGTATTCAAAGACTGCATTTCGGGCATCGTACTCCGTTCGATTAGATCTTCCTTCACTAAGACGCGTCGAGTGTATGCCGTGACAGTTCGACCAGTCCTGCTATACGGTGCAGAAACGCCATTAAGAAAACAGGATAAAGACAGACTGTCGGTGTTTGAACACCGCTGTCTACGCTGCATTTAAGAAAACAGGATAAAGATAGACTGTCGGTGTTTGAACACCGCTGTCTACGCAGCATTCAACTAATCTGGTGGGGGTAGCCGGATGAGCAATGCTGAGGTTAGGGGCAGAGTTTTGGGTATCCGCGATCGCCCATTGGAGTAAGTGGTCGACCTCCATAGATTACGTTGGTTGGGGCATGTGTTACTCAGGTCACGAGATAGGTTACCACGGCGAGCGATGTTCGCCGAAGCAGACACCGAGTGGAAAAAAGCCAAGGGTGGTCAAACTAAGACTTGGCACGAGGGTATGAAAACCCTAACGAGGAGACTGGGTTACATAGGTCCCGTTAGGCTGCTTGGATGGGGACCTCGGGATGATCGTAACTGATGGTTAGAGACACTGAGTGATATGACTGGGTCTCGCAACCAGTGGCGTTCGTGCATCTTCTCAATCTCTTTGTCACCTTAGACCACTGGACCTCTCCAATTTCTGTTCGACTCCAATTTCAAGTTTCCTTTTATCTCTTATTCTTCATCCAAATGGGCAGTCAATAGACAGCAACCAAAACCGGCGTACGAATATACGTATTTAATGGTTGTTCAAACTGAAAACTGAAGCGTCTTTCACATTTAGGGTTCCCAATTTACCCTATGGCCCAATCAAAGGGATTCCCTACACATTTAACTCGTCCATAATATAATTTATACTCTTCTTCTCTTAATGCTCTAAATCAAACTCTTCCAACTTTCCTGGTCTGCTTTTCAAGTGATCGTGTTCCTTTTTGACTGACACGTTTTTTCGGATTTCTTGCTCGTTTTATTGTGTATGGTGCGGAAAATTCGTTGCAGTTCGAAATTTCATCGGTTTATTGCTTTTATCTTTGTGTTGTAGTGGAACATGTTGATAGAACCTGCGATTTCTCATTGATGGACGTTTTGTTAACGCCCTTCGCGGTATGGCAGTACTTGGATCTGAAATAAGATTCTATTCATCTTGCACTAATTTTAACCGTGCTATGTGAACCTAATAAATTTTTTTTTGTGTTCTTTTTTAAAAACCGCTGAGGACATTTGGACGAAGTGAAATGAATGCTTATAATGATAGAAGTTGAGTCACACGTAACCTATTAGGGTTCTATGTGTTTAGCCACTGCAAGTCCCGGGACCTAGTTGACCGGTTTCCATCACTGAATAGGTCTACGCAACTATGTGGTTTAACCCATGTACTGTTCATCGCATAAAACGGAGTGTGCTAAAAACGGAAGTGGCATAATTTTCACTACATTGCAGATTGAAAAAAATGTATGTGCGTCACTGTTGCTGTAGCTGCTTTCCGTAACATGATTCAGTGAGTCGTTTCGATTCCACTCGGATATTTTGAGATGACTTTATCGGAGTGTTATCATTCAACTAATTGACCAATCTGAATCATCTAAATTTATTGATTGCTTCGCTTAAGGGTTAAAAAAATCAATCAAGAAGTCTGCACATATTTCTTACTCAAACAGCATTCTCAGAATCATTTTAGTGTTCGATGATCAAATAATTTAATTCTCTAATACACTATGCTTTATCGACTAGTTCAGGTGTGCCGTATGCATAGTTGATCGTGTTGAAGTCAATTCTAATCTTTTCTCTATCGATCTCAAGTAATGTATCAAGTGCTTCGCGAATGATCTGGTACACTAATGGTCAAGTTCAACTGTTGCCTCCCTCCCTGTGTTAGTAGGTGCATATAAAACGTGCTGGCAACCTCTTGAACCCATTTCGTTTGTTCTTTCATGGACGTACACACATACCACAGACACAGAGTTCCAATTTTGTGTTTAGTCTGTCATCTCTTCACTTTCAGACAAAGTTGGTTGCTTCGTCGTAAATCCCCGTGCTGGAGAATACTGAGGCAAGCTGTAGAATGATCACAGTATTTCTGTGTTTATTGAGGATATGAAGAATTACATAATTCCAATGTACACATTACTCAAATGTTGTTTGCTCTCAATGGTTTATTGACCCGTGGAACAAAAACCTATAACTTACATGAAAATGAAGCGCTGTTGTGTTGCTTTTAGTGCTGACATGAAACTGAACTGATGACATAACACGATGTGTGGGGCATTATTCAGATGGTCGCAAAGCTACCGACCACGTAGCTGGTTGGGCTGATGATTGTGTCATTGAACGGTAGTGTTTCTGGATGATCATTCACGCATTTGTTGATTCACTAGCATTTAATTTGGTGCTCAGGTTCACGATCAATCCGAACTCACTTCCCTCGGTAATGTTATAACGACAGTTATTTCATGTCCACTTCGAACTCCACCTGTCGAATTCAGAAGCCATCATCCTTTGACTCTTACTTGTTTTTGAAGCAAGGTTCCTCATTCTGAAAACTTTGTGACTAACATCACCTTGTATTGTGTTCACGCTTCAAGCTCACATGCTATATTTTGTATTTGTAAACGCATATATCTTATCGCAGGGTAAGTTGGCTCCATGGATCGTGGCTTGCAGTGGGCTACAGACTGAAACCCAATCGGTGCTTATTGTCAACCAGATTTCGTTTGATTACCTTATCCGCGAGGATTGTTTGTTTAATTCCGTCTCAGTTTACGGTCGAGTGTGATCGAACCGCCCTGCAATCGTCGACTTTTGAGGAGAAACGCTGCCAATGTGGGAGCAACATCTGTATTTCTTTTTGGATAGCGTGGTGCCATTTAATTCTTTGGGATTCGACGTAGACACCATTGATCGATTCATTCTAAGCTGTTGTCCTCAAAGCACAGCGGCCACGTTAGTGTTGGTGTGTTGTCCCAGCTCGAAGTGTTGTGTGCGGTCTAGCAAATCCTTAGGGTACATTATACTTGCCCAAGAAATCAAATGACTTACTCAAACTAAAGTTTAAACATCCACCTATGTAACTAATCATTCATGACGAAATCCGAAACGCCCTGGAATATCGCATCGAATTCATAATCAGGGTTGGTTATGAGGAAGTTGCACAGACTCCTCACAGTCTTGTCTCCGTACAAACGCCAGTAAATTCCTCAGTGTGGACATGCTAACACGTCTCAATGATTTCTTCAAAGCTTTAAATT